TTGGATGAACTGAGTGAAATTCACTATTTTCTAAAGAATATTTTCACATTGAAGGAAAGAATTATTATATCATACAAACTGATAATTTATCATGTAATTTTATGAATGATTAGTTGAATATTTTGTTTATCTGATTCCATGATTAGGAGGGAAATATGTTTTTCCTCTTCTATTTTTTTTTTTGAGATATAGAAGACACGGAGATGAAGATAAATGAATTGATTAGATAATTGCTTACAAGTTAACTGGTAAAACCTTCTACTACTATGCTCTCTTGGCTATATATTACGCCAATGGTCTGATTATTACTTATAGAGTGACTATTATTCAGTTACTAATAACTATTGATTCATTTTAATCATATATCCATTTACAGATATCTGGTAGTTGTATTTATTTGGATAAATATACTCATACCATTGTTTACTTATTCTCTTTTTTCTTGATGTGCTCATTAGATAATCCAACTATACCGACTGTATAATAATGAACTATGGAGCATTTCTTTCTTATCCAACTCTTTTACACTTCAACTAATAATCCAGAAAATGATCATTAGATTGGATTATTCATTGAATCAATCAAGTAAGCTTAAAATTAGGCTACACCTGTCGCGTATATATTATCATCATCAAGATCAACATAGGCCTAGGGATTACTGTGTAACGATCCAAGTTGCCACTTCTCATATTACCACATCAAGTAATAAATGAAGAAGGAAAGAAAAATCAGTTGAAAGGAGCAGAAAGTAGTGAAAGAGAGGGAGGAAGAACGAGAAAATAATGAGATTAAGTATAGTGGTTAAGATGTGGATAATGTGTGTATACATCTCCGCCGCTGACATCAATTCCCAGTCATACCACACAGAGTCTCACACTATTGGTTTCTCTTGTCCTACTGACCCCAACCGGCTAGTTTGTATCTTCTTACATGGCTCAAACGAACAGTGCATTGATGCCATGTTTTAGTCTTGCCACCCTGAGCCTTTTTCCAGCCTGAACCTACTCCGGCCAATATTGTATGATGATGCAGATTGTAGCTAGGCATACGTAACACATATCCCAGCCACCCATCTTAGTCGGTGAAAGTTCACAACCGGACGTATATATGTGTATATATATTGACCAATGTCATATAAAAATTTCAGTTAGAACCAATTTCAACTATGGTCCGTCCATATTCTGCTTCAGTCGATTTGAAAACGGTTCCCACTAGAATTTTCATTTGAAGTTTGATATTCTGCCTTTTATATTATTTTGATTTTACCCTATGGCAACAAATACCTACTGCCTATCCAGGAAGGAACGAAAGGTATCTTCCGAGTGGAAGAAGGGCTGCCTTGTCAAACTTCCAAAGAAGGGAGACCTAAGTCTTTGCAAGAAATGGCGTGGAATCGTGCTCCACCCCTGTCCACCCCAGGCAAAATATTAAGCCACATCATCCTGGACAGACTAACAAAACGATCCGGATTCAAAAGTACTACCGAAACAGGTTGGCTGGCTGGCTTCGGGAAACAGAAATCATGTGCGGATGAAATTGCAACGCTACGCATCATCATAGAACAAAGCGTAGAATGACAATCAACTCTCTACCTCAACTTCATCAATTTTGAAAAGGCCTTCGACAGCGTCAACTGAGAAGTGATTTGAGAACTGCTTCAAAACAAACCTTCATCAACCTCATTCAACAGATATACGACGACGCTACATGCCAAGTGACGCCTTTGAAGTGAAGACAGGGAGGAGTAAGACAAGGCTGCCACCTACTGTCACCGATCATCTTCCTGATTGTGGTCGACTGGACTGAACTGGACCATGCAACAAACCATAAGGGGCGAGAAGATGGACATACGCTGGCTGGACCGATGAAAAGACCCCAGAAGAATTCGAATTTACCAGTGATGATTTAGGTCTAATATCTTGTCGCACAAACTGGAAGATCTTCAGATGGAAACTAACAAGTTGACAGAAGAGGTGAGGTGAGGCAGAGAGGACGGGGCTTCCTTCAGGTGAATGTAGAGAAAACAGAGGTGATGAAGATATCCAACCAACAACAACAAACTCCAATCACCATCAACGGGAGAAGTCTAAAGCAAGTTATCTCTTTCACCTACCTACCTAACTAGGCAGCATCGTTTCAACTACAGGCGGCGCAGGCACAGATGAGGGTGTTAAAGCAAGGATTGTAAAGACAGCAAGACACGCCTTCCTTCATCAGTCTGAAATTAATCAGTTTGGAGATCTACTGCAATCAGTAAAAAGAACAAGATACAGATTGTCAACACTAATGTCAGTCAAGTGAGTCAGTGCTTCTATGTGATGATTGATAGACTTGGCGGCGCGTCACGGAAAGCAGTCCCAACAAACTACAGACATACATCACATCAACAGCTGCCACCTACGCTCACTCGATACTGGCACTGAAGATGAGATGGTGAGAATAATAATTAGAATAAGTAAGAAGGAACTCTAGCTGGTTGGCTGGAAACGAACCAACCAACAACCTATTACCCAACAAATAATCAGTAGAAGCAAGTGGCGATGGATGGGCATACACTGAGAAAACCATTCAGAGATATCACACAACAGGTCAGGCCGTCTAGTGGAATCCAAATGGGAAACGACGAGTTGGTTGTCCGAGGCGAAGGTGACATGGAGGAGATGGTGTGAGAAAGAAATGTAAGCTTGTGAGCAGTTGTGGAGCAGGGTTCAAAAGGCTGTAGAGAACAGAGTGGAATGACAACGTGCAACTGAAGCCTTATGTTCTGCTAGGAATTCAGGTGACAAATAATAATAAGGTGAACATAGTAGATTTACAGAGGAATATGAAATATTAGTAACTTATCATGGATAAACTGGCTTGTTCACACATGAATACACAGTGAACAAATTGAAGATTATTCAGATAATTACTCAACTCCAAGATATTAGGTAATAACTACTCACGACTAATGTAATATTACATATTTTTCCATTCTAAATATACATCAGACATTGTACATGGTCTGATGTAGGTATTTCGTATCTGCACAACGCTTAATGTGGCTGTATGAAATGTTTACAGCTCATTTACTGAGATACAGTAGCGAAGTGAATCAATAATATGGACAGGATTAATTCATTTTACATATCAAGAGGTTATATAGAACACCTGAGTCATGAAAGACAATAACACTACTTGACTTGTCAAGGCGTCGATAAATTTACTGGAGTTTGAATCAATGGTACAAAAATGGAATAAGATCTCTAAAAAAAAAAGCTACTAGCTACAATGTAACTATCAACAGAATATCTGGGAAAAAAACTATTTAGTTTGATCAAACAAAAACTGAGTAAACAATAACAACATTGTCCAGATATGAGTATCAGTTTTGTCGAGGTTATAGATATACCTTTCTGACTAGTGCCAACAGGCATAAAACTTACGTCCAGGGTTCCCTGCTGATTGCCTTCAACTAAGTAACATGCTGAGCCTTCTAGCTTGGTGGACACATTGAAAATATGATTGATAGAATTCAGTATGCACTCAGGACTAGACGACATGAAATTAGTTGCACCCCAATGACAAATCAGTAAATATGAACTTATCGACTGTAATTTACAGGGTTAAGTTGAACTCTGTTAAAGTACTGCTGGAGCGTTAACCTCTATATTCTAAGATGCTTCATGGAACTTCGGTGTCTACCTTATTCCTAATAATATAAGTATTCCATCTTAGCTCTCCAATTACATGATTATCAATTCACTTCTTTTAGCCTCATTTGATCCAGTTTTTATGTCTTGAGATCATTTCTCTTGAAATAATCCCTACTTCACATCAGCATCACCTTTACCATTTGTATACTTACTGGATAAATTTTTATACAGCTAAGTGATTATTTACTGGAAAGCTTGATCATAAAGTTGCTCGAAAAAAAAACATTTATTGACTGGAAATTCTTTTTCCCTGTCATTCATGAAAATATTACTCTGACAATAAGGAAAAACGCTTAATTACCAGTAAGGAAAATCAGCCAATCATGTATCAAGCAAACGGGTGATTATAACGATCTTTCAGAAATATTTTAGGTAACTGAAAATTGTTTGTAATTATAAAAATATCGATTTGGCTACATGCATTAGTACTTTCGGAGTAAAGTTGTTAACTCTGCTATCCATCTTAGTGTCTAGATCAAGCCTTCAGAAGAAACCAACCAGATTATAAGATTATACATGCGACATTCATCATTTACACATGTGAGCGTGTTAGCTGCTTGCAGACAATTGGCAGAAAGCCTTGGACATATCTGCAACCTCGAAGGAACTAATGACCCCTTCGAGATGTTAACCCACATCACCCAGTGCTGAAGTCAATAACGTTACTAATGAGCTTTCCGAGATGTAACTAACCTTTTGTAGAGATGAGTTAGATACGTTGGTGGCAACACTGCAAATCGATCGATAAAGTTCGGTCGGTACTGAGGGCTACAAACATGAAATTGGTTACTCTCTAGTGATAAACTAGTATATGTAAAGTTACTACTTAAATATACCTTTTCTAGTAGCTTTTGCAAAATCATGTGAATTATCACTTTGTTATAGCCACTTGGCTAGTGTGATGCGAAGTTGCATATAAATTTATCTTTTATTTACACAACAGCCAAGGGTGGGAACTAATTACTGTCAGTACTCCACAGATAGATGAATAGAATTCAAAGACTAGTCAGATTTTCTTCTAAATTTATTCTTCATTCTAAAATGGGATCCGATCATAGGCGACTTTAAAAGCTACCCTAGCAACGACCGAAATAACCAATCAGATTTCCCCATTCCGGTTGGAAAGGTAGATTTTCATAAAATAGAGGAATTTAATTCGTTACTTTAGTTGTTGCTGGGGTGACCTTTAAAGTCACTCCCAATCAGTTTAACAACGCTAATTAACAGGTAAAAACCTTTAAAAATGACTGAAGAATCAAGAAATAATAATCGTATTATCATCAATATTATTCTAACTGAACTTACCAATATTAGCTTGAGTTGAAAGCAGAACCCAAAAGGATAATATCATCATTATTTTAAATAAGAGTGACATTGTCAATTGAACTTTGGTTTGTTTGTTCTTTATCTGCGGTGATCAAAATGTAAAAACATAGGATGTGAGAAACGAAAACAGTGATTATTATTATTAATGAGGAAAATAACTATTCAGTAGCTATTTTAACTCATATTATGATCTATTAATGATGGATCGTGGCTAGCAGTGGAATCCAGGACGCATATTTCGTCCTATTTAGGACTCGTCAGCTGGATGTACCTGCCTCCCAATGAGTGATATTGTTCCCACCGGGATACAGTAGTGTCGTGGATAACACCCTGGCGTTTGAAGCGATCGCTCCCGAGTCCGAATCCCAGTGGGAACAACACTCACTGGGAAGTAGGTACATCCAGTCTCAAATAGGAAGAAATGCGCATGCTGAATTCCACTGCTAGCCATGATCCATTTTTACTAGAACTAGAACTACACAGATATATCGAGGCATCTATACAGCATCCTATATGCCAATAGAAACCGATCAATTAGGTCCTATCAACGACTTTATGACATAAAAACAATTATACTCATATTGTGATCGGTGAATTTTTGTTTATCTAATGACCTTAATGCGTATACATCAGGAATGATCAGTTAGAGGAGAGTTAATCACCTGAGAAAATTGTAAATCATGCAAAAATAACTTCATATTTATTGAATAAAAAGTTATTTCCTGTCATATGAATTATTATTTCAGGTCAATGAATTAACGATTTTTGATATTAGTAATAAGGAATTGTTTTTAACTACAAATTAGAATGAACAGAAAGTTTTGTGATTTTATAGTATATACAGGGAACTCAAAGATGAGTTAATTAATCGTACGCCAACTCTTGTTATTTCACTAAATTGTGAGCATTTGGCTAATGAAAATATCAATTATGATTCACCAGAGTAATAAAATTTCTCAAAAGTTCTGTATTTTTAGTTCATTGTTTACAAAAGGTTGAAGATATACATACACAGCAATCGCTGAATAGCTAATAATGGTGTGTTATCTTAGTTGTGGATACTAATCAAATCCCTTTAGATAAAACATTGTAATGAAATCAACTACCTGTATTGCTTGATATCAAGACCAACTTCATATCATTTTGAAATAAGAAATTTATTCAGAAGGTGTTCAAAATAATCACTGGATTGTAGATTATTTATGAATTGAGAGGTTCACATTGATATTTCTAACAACTGAGTTATCTGACAACTTATAAAGTGTTCTGTCAACAGGTTTTCTGTAGGATGTTTGTCGTATGTGGATGGGGACTGATAAAAGCTTCCTCTACTGCATTCCACTAACTCTGGACATCCTACATTTAACATAAGTTGATCTACAATTCATGTTCCATCTTTATTTGTTTTCTGTACTTCTTTCCTACTTGCTGTTCCATGCGACAATGTCTTATATACATACCACACTACCCTTCTTTCTCTCTCTATAGACTAATATACCTAATTCTTTAGTGACTTCAAGTTATCTGTAGCGTTGACGGACACATTCCACTCACCATTATCAACGATGAAATGAATAGGTGATCATAATAACAGCAATAATGACCCATCTATGATATTCACATATGCATACAATATTGGCAAATCTTGAGTAGGATTCAACTTTATTTGAGGTCTTGACACAGAAATACAAACACATGGTGATCAGAAGTACAGAATATTTTTAGTGTTACTGCTTGTATTACACCGTCGTTGATTCGCCCGAATTGATCAGTCTCTGTTGGCATATGGGCTCCTGTGCGAATGCCTCGATATTGCCTGTGTTTCAGTTATGTATAGTAATGATGGGTAGTGACTAGCAGTGGAATCCAAGATGCGCATTTCGTCCAATTTCTTCCACTGCTAGCCACTGCGCATCATTATATACATAATTGAAACACTGGCAATATCGAGGTATCCATACAGGAGCCCATATGCCAACAGAGACTGATCGATTCGTTCCAATCAACGACGGTGTAATACAAGCAATAACGTTAAAACTATGCCCGTCACACAAGAAGTGGCTATCGTTGCTCCGTGGTGTAATGCTCAACGCTCTCGCGTTTGAACCGATAGCTCCCGAGTTCAAATCCTGATGGGAACAACATCACTCACAAGGAGGCAGGTACGTCCAGCTGATGAGTCCCAAATAGGACGAAATGCGCATCCTGGATTCCACTGCTAGCCACTGCCCATCATTATTAAAGCATATTTTTATCTCAGGAGTTATCAGTTATATAAACGGAAAAGAATGATATTCAGCAATTAAGTAAATCAGTAGTAAAGTGACTATGCAGAACAAGAAAATAAGAGGCATTTAGACAACAGACAACTATGAATAAGTTTGAAGGAAAATAGACTAAGATTATATAAATAAACACATTTTATGATCAAATTATATTTTATATGGGAATAGATTTCATTCTTCCTCAAGAAAAGTACTTCATTTCATATGATAATTAAAAAGTTACTTTTTTTTCAGTCCAAAATTTCTTTTTAAATTAAAAGTAAAATTTGTTTCCCCTCCAACTTGTTGCTTATTTGGCAGCTGTATATGAATTATTTATGCATTTAAGTGTTAGAATGAACAGACAGCAAATGATATTTTATATAGACAATGAATTTCCTGATATTATGAAGAGTATTTTCGGTAGTTATTGTATCGCTTGAGTAATCATTGAAACTGCTACAGAAAGATCAATGCCTACTTCAACTTTGGACATATGAGAGGATAAAGTGATGATGAGAAGGCAGTATATATAGATTAATTAAAAAACTAATCTATAATTCACAAAATTCACAAATCGATCGTAATCCCAAAATCATAACTTATTGATTTTTCAGATTTCAAATTAACCAATCATATTGACATCGATTTGTGTAGCGAATATTATTGGTTATTTAACAGCTAACTATCCTCAACCTTGTGATGATGCATAACACTTTTAAACTGATAGGTTCTTTCAACAGTTGATCAGTGTCAAGCTAAGTTATTGAAATCACTTTACAAAATTCAGTGGTAGGAATTAATTGGGATGAAATACTACAAGATAATTTGTTCCAAATCTTCTGATCAAATTATAAAGGTTAACTATTTATAAGACATAGTTTTAGTACGCATGTAAGTGGAGTATTTTCGGTTTCCACCAGTAGCAGTGGAAATTCATAATGATTATATTGATGTATTGCCACAAACCTTTATCAGCCTCACTCAACAACTATATGAAGACGCCACATACAAGCCAAGTAATCCCCAATCGGAAGCTCAGTGATGCTTTTGAAGTGAAATAGGAGTAAGAAAAGACTGTCTACTATCACCCATCACATTCCTGATTGTGCTCAACTGAACTGGATCATGCAACAAACTGTGAGGAGCGAGAGGAGGGGGATACGCTGGCTGGACCGGGGAGAAGAACCTAGAAGATTTGGATTTGGCCGACGATGACTTGTGTCTAATATCTTGTGGCACAAACGTGAAAAACTAACAAGTTGACAGAAGAGGTGAGGCAGCGAAAATGGGACTTCCCTCAGGTGGATGTAGAGAAGACAGAGGTGATGAAGATATCCAACCAACAACATTAACAACAACAGCAACCTCCAATCACCATCAATAGGAGAAACTTAAAGGAAGTAGTCTCTTTCACCTATCTAGGCAGCACTGTTTCAACTACAGGTGGCACAGGCACACACGAGGATGTCAAAGCCAGACAGGATCGGTAAGACAGCAAGACAGGCGTTCATCAACCTGAAACCAGTGTGGAGATCTTCTGCACTCAGAACAAAGTGTGAACAACATCCGGATTTTCAACACCAACGTGAAATCAGTGCTTCTCTGTGATTGTTCAGAGACTTGGTGCCTTACGAAAGGTATTTCCAATAAACTACAGACATTCATCAACAACTGCCTACGCTGGCGCGATACTGAAGATCAGATGGCCAGAAAGAATCAGAATAAGCAACAAAGAACTCTGGCCTGGCAATGAACCAACCAAGAAGCTATTGCCCAACAAATATGCACTGGAAGTAAGTGGAGATGGATTGGATTGGGCATACACTGAGAAGACCATTTGGGGACATAACGCGTCAGTCCAGGCCCTCGATTGAAACCTAGATGGGAAGCCACGAGTTGGGCTTCCCAGCTGAGGGTGACATGGAGGAGATGGTGCGAGGAGGAAATTAGAGGTTGTGGGCAGTCGTGGCGACAGGTTCAAAAGACTTCAGAGAAGAGAGTGGAATGGAGACGTGCTACTGAATCCCTATGTTCCAGTAGGAACCCAAGGGACAAATAATAATAATATTGATGTAAAGCTTTGTAGCATAAAATTCCTCTGACTGCTAGGTGAATTTACTATCGTTGTACGTATCGTTTTTTCTAGATTAGCACTTTGACTTAATACAACTATATTTTACTCGAAGTATGGCTTGAAACTCCATTCTTTGATACATCTAAGATGTTATGATAAATGAAGAGGTGTAGTATTACGCATGTTAATGAGGACAGAGGATGATCTATGACCTTCCTTGCATCCTTGATTGACTGATCATTATAGCTGTTTGATATCCTCCAAGCTTAGAGGTTTGTTCTTGGATGTTTCATCGTCACACTAGACGGCTTCATCAGCATTAAATGTCAAGTAAGTGATTAACCTTTTTATGACAGCAGTCACATCTTTTGTGTAAAAGGCATGTTTGACTTCGTCATGAGGTACACCTCTTTGTTGAGTTACGTCTGCTCATATATATTGAGTTGGGTTTTGGAAAAAGTTAGAGATTATTGGGGTCATGAAGACAGATATGAACTAAATGAAAACTTGTCCACGTCCAGCTTTCAATCAACCTCAAATCAGTTTATTGTTGAAGCCTACAAAACAGTAATTATATAGCCTAGCAATGATATACGCTTCTTTGAACTAAGCTGTAGACTATCTGTACTTTATATGAAAGCTAATGATACAAATTGGCTATCATGTTCTTGTGACAGTTTAGCTGGAAGTTGAATATTCATTTGCATGACCCAGTCATCTAGAAATTGAATGTTTGAACAT